CCTCTTCTACTTCATTATGGTTGAAGGAGTATCTATAGGGGTAATTTAGAAAAAATTGATAAATATGATAAATGGGTCTTATATTTATGATCAAAATCAATTTAACAATTGGATCCTATATTAAGGACCGGAGGAGTATTACTTTTTTAATATTATATATGAATATTTTAATATATTTAATCATGATTTCCAATTTTGGATCACTAACCCTTGAATCCTTTTGAGTCAAGTTTTCAATATCTTGGAAGAGACTAGCAGCAAAAGAAGGCAAAAACTTAATGCTATTTTTAGGAAAACCTTGGACTCAAACGGTGTTAAGTAAACTTGTCAAAATTATTTTTGGAGCCCAAACCATGATTTAACTCAAAAAGTTATCAAACATTTCACATTTTTATGAAACCATGATTTGGCTCCAAAACCATGGTTTGACCCACCTAAACTATGGTTTTATAAAAAACAAAAAATGTTGCTTTTTGAAAATGTGGTCCTTTTTTTTTTTTTTTCACATTCTAATACTATCTCTAATCTTTAATATAAGAACTAGTTAACTAATTTGAGTAGAATAAGAAAATTAGTTAAGTTAGTTATTTGTAATAAATAGGTGTTATCTTCCCTGAAATACTCTTTCTAATCATGTGTATTGGCTAAACATACCATTTGATGAAATATTTAATATGTACAACTACCACAATGACTACTTTAAAAAAAATAGATAAATATGAGAAACAAAATGGATTAAGATTTTATGTTTATGAACAAATTGAATAGCAAAATAGCTTGTATATTAAAGATTGGAAGTAGTATTTTGTTAAAAATAAACTAGTTGTGAAAAAATGTTATGAAATTTCATGTTTAAAATCTTTGAGACAAAATAATATTTTTCTGTTGGCAAAAAGTAGTAATCATTTTTTAAAAACATATTTAGTCTTATATTTTATAAATACATATACACATATTAATTATTGATTAATTACATTTTTTTATATATTATTTATTAGATTGGCAAAAAACATATTAACAAATTTATTAGTTCAAATAGAAACATATTATAAAATCGATCTTTTATATAATTATCATATTAACTTATGTCCTTTTTAATAATTTGTACATGTAAAAGTGTTTATGATAACAATGATCTAAACACTCTCATTTTATCAGAATTATTTTTTCACAAAATCTATTCTTCCAAAATTTATTCTAAAAAAAATTTCACCTAAAACTATTATCCAAACTATAATTTGATTTTAACCAAACACCTTCTAAGTTGTTACTGTCACACTAGATCCAGCCTTTGTGCCTATTTATGCATAGGCATCTGGCAACACTCCCCAGTTTTCTCCTCGGACCCTAAAAGAAGATGAAGATGATGCCAACAATTCTTGTGCTGTTTCTTCTCATTTCAGCCTCAGATTTCCAGACAGAAAGCAGAGCTTTAAACCATAGCAGCAATGTGCACGAGGAATTTCGGGGTAACATTTCTAGTTAGGCTCTTCAACCTTTATTTTTTGTTTTCCTGAGTTTGTTTTATCATTGGTTCACTGTTCGATTACAGAGACATTAATGCATGGAAGTATGAAACTGGAGAAGAATGAGACATCTTATACTGTGCGAAAAGGAGGAAGAGGAGGAGGAGGACGTTCTGGTTTTAAACGTCATCATTACCCCACTCACAGCCACCGCTCTGCAACTTCATTTTTACAAGTTCCATTAACTCTTTCTGTTGCAACCTTCTCTTTCATCTTCGTTCTTCTCTTCAACTAACTCTTTCTGTGTGTTTTAGACCAAGGAAGTTGGTCTCATATGGATGCTGCTTTCGTTTGTTTGTGTTTTTTCCCCCCTTTTTAGGATCCTTCAGAAGCATCTGTTTGTTTGTGACTTAGGTCTGTTTGATTCCCTACTTGAAGATTTCCAGGAACTTTGTTATTTTAAGTTGTAATCCTTCTTCAATATGACGAATAGATAGATGCTTCAACCTCTCATTCTCTTGAAGAAGCACAAAACAGGGTTCCCAGGCCGGCAGCAACCTGACTGTCAAATCTTTTACAGTTTTTTCCCCTGTAATTTAACACGCATTTTCCTGTAAAAGAAAGAAAAATTAGTGTAAAAAAAACGAGGTATAGCAAATTTGAAACGATGAAGTGAACATTCATTAACAACATAGCAGCCAAAAACAGAGTCGAAACATCGTATATATTAAGGGAAAAACAGAGTATACGTCTCTGAAAGCAAACTCAACTTATTTCTTCTTCTTGTTCTTTTGATTTTTAAATAATGGGATTGGCTGCAGAAACCCATAATGGGGATGATCAAACCCACCTATGAATCTGTCATCATGATGAATTGTATCCATGAGACTTGGTCCTTTAGCCCCATTTTTAGGCTGTTTACTTGGAGGACAAGCCATATTTTTCCTCTGTTTGTTTTTCCTCTCATCCCATTCCTATCATTAGATTAACAAATAGATACTAGTACTTGAGATCCAATACATTTATGAAACTATTATTTCTATTATTTTCAAGTAGCCTATAGTTATATAAAGTATCAAGATTACACTTTGACAGTTTTATTTTATTTATATATTTTTTTTGTGATACTATAATCGTAATTTTATAAATTACTAAATCTCAGCTGCATAAATGGGAAAAATCACTATGTGGTCCTAAAAAGGCAATATAATTATTAAAAAGTCTTATGATAAATTAATAACTAATATACAAAAAATGACAAGAAAGTCCATGTTACTTATTCTTCACTTAAAATTTTTTGCTGTTATTTTTTTTCCACTTGTGACCTTGCAGTTACACTGCCTCCGATTCTAATTATAAGACTTTATTTACAGACTATATATAAAGTCTTATAATTACAATGAGAGGTAGTACTTCCCATATAAATATTCTTTTGCAGCTCCGAAGCTTTTGAAGTGGGGATCGCCCCAATCCTACGGCTTACAGATTACGCGTGTAGCATTGCAAATTACCACCTCCGGTTCCAACTTCCAAGGGGTGTCTGGTTTGGGCCAAAAAAAAAACTTTTTAAAAATATTTTTATGAGTTGAAATAAAACTTTTTCCACGTACTTATTTTAGATAATATAAAATTATTTTTAAAATTATAGTTTGATTTTCACACAAGTTTGGTTAACATAAAAAGTATTTTCATTAGACAAATTTTCTCACGTACTTACTTCGTATACTATAAAATTGATTTTAAAATCGTAGTTTAATTTCCACTCAAACAATCTCTAATATAAGATCTAGTTTGTATTGCAATTATTACAAAATAGATTTTATATTTAGGACTCTAAGTTGTATCATATAAATAAAGCGGGAATTTCTTACATGCCTCACAGAAGCAACATAATTTCTAACAACCTCCAAAGCATTATGAAATTTCATTGGACCTCCAAGCACCGGAATGAAATTAAATTTTGTAAGTTAAAAAAAAAATTATTGTCCTTACTCTAACAGTTAACAACCTTATTTTTTTCCCTAAATTCTTGTATTCCACTAGTGAATCATAACTCCCTAACCTATTATGAAAACTTGCTTAACTTGTAAATGACGTTATTCTAATTGTAAATAGCCTTGTTTTACTGGTAAATTCTAATATTCTATTTGTGAATTCACTTTTCTTGTTTCTCTCTCTATAATATTATTATTTTCTTTTCGCTCTAAGAATTAGTTTCACTTTATCTTTAAAAGGGTGCAATAAAATTTCAGAGTTGTACAGCCAATTGGAAATAAAATTTCTACATGGGAGCTAAATGAAACTCTCCCTATAAATAAATAGATATCTTTGTTAGGGCCCACTTACCTTATTTGGTTGCAACTTATTAAATTTAATAAATAGGGGGTAGATTTTATTTTGCCCCCTTGAGAAAAGCTAAAATGATTTCCAATAAAAAGATAAGTCAGTATGCACAATAAAAATATAAGACACATGCTATTGTTACATAATCCAAAGAAATAATCTTGATCTTGTTTGGTTTGAGGGGAGGGTAGGGGAGGAAGGGGAGGGTAGGGGAGGAAGGGTTTTATCCTCATCTTGTTTAGTTTGATTAAAAAAAAAAAGAAATGGGAGGATATTTAATGATCCCTTATTTGGTTCAAGGAGAAGGGATGGATAGTAATAATCAATTTACTATTTTACCCTTACATATTAGTTTATATTTTTTATTGATATATTATATAAATTAATTTACATCTTAATTTAAATTATATAATTTAATGAAAATTCAGTCTTATCATGTTAATATGTGCATTACAAAATTGGTACAGTAATTTTTTATTCTAATTAATATAATGATATATTTAAAATAATCAAAATAACAAATTTTATATGCTCTTAAGAAAAATAAAATTTTATTCTCTTTAAGCTATCCTTTTTTTCAGCTTTAAAATATATTTAATAAATAATATATTTATAAAAAAATTAATTTTATAATATTATAATTTTTTATTTAAATAATTTTTTATAATTATAATCATTTCTATTTTTTATTTTTTACATAAGATAATATATTTTTTATTTGAAATAAATATTATAATAATATATTTTATAGGTAGCAGTGGAATATTAAAAAAACAATAAGGATAGAATGGTCTAAAAATTTAACTCCCCTCCAAATTGAGTGTTTTTGGAGGGAAGCTAAAATGGAAAGGAGGGAGGGAGGGGGCATTTTGACTTCCCTCCCCTCCAAAATTTCTAACCAAATGAGAAGAGAAGCTCATTTTTCCTTCCCTATCCTTCCCTCCAACCAAACAAACCCTAAAAATTGTCATTGCAAGTTACTTTGTTGACATTTTAGTAATTACATTCCTTCTGAAATTTCATAGCAATTCTTTCTTTCCTTTTTTCTCTTCCCTATTTTTTTGTTTTTTTGTTTTTTGGTTGGGGGGGGGGGGAGGGGGGTTGGGTATTGACGCGAAAGGGAGTAGCCGTTGAATTATCAGTTGTTACCAAAACACAAAAAGGTCCAGGCTTATTTCTAAGCCAAATTTTACCAAGTGCATTACAAAACATTCCAAGATAATACGTTCAAAAGTGGGTGTCAAAAGCCATTGTGCACAACACAGAAATTACACATCATAGAGAAAAATGAAGGGTGCGATTCATACATGTACACCTTGTTCGATCACCCAGGGCCTACTTTGGGGATGTCATAGTGCTCGCTCATGTTTGCCAAATACTGATTGAAATCCTGAATTCTGTCACGGTGAGATTTATTGGAAATCTTGGCCAATCTATTAACATCAAGTTGTTCTCTTTGTTCTATGTATCGTCTCTCGGCCGGCGTAAGATGATCATCATAATGAGGAGCCTTCTCTTCCCCTGTCGATTTGTTCACATCATCATTGTCTTGATCATTAGGATCGTCAGCTTGTTCTGCACTTCCACCTGCATTAGAGAACATAAATGATACAAATTATATCAGACACTTCATGACATGCTGCAGACAGAAGTCATTTTATGGATTAACCATTCAACACTTTATGGCCAAAAAAAAAGAGTCAAATTGATAATGTCATTTGCACAGCAACTTGCTAAGCCCCGAAAAGTTATCTGACATGTAACATTAAGGGGGTGTTTGGATAGAAACTAAACCATAGTTTCAGAAGTGCTTTTACAGATTACGAAGTAAATATGTGAAGGAGATTACCTCGTTTTGCGGAAAAGTGCTTCTGAAACCATGGTTTTGGGTTTCCCAAACACCCTAAAATGGAAGAATGCCACGTCTCTAGAATTTTGGCTCAAGACCGTTGCCCTCTATTATTCATACTTTCTTATCAGTGGGACGGATCGTGATCCTTCCTCATTCTAACAAAAAGTATCTCTTCTATTTATGGGAAGAAGTTAAGCACAAAAGAAAAGAGATTAAAGCAACACCAGAAATGATTAAGCATAATTTTGTTAACCAGCGTGAATTAGGTTCCAAGGAAAGGAAGCCTCACCCGTTACCAGGAGCAACCATGGCATCAATCACCATTTTTTTGAGCAGTACGTTCAACAGAGAAATTAAAATGTTACTTTTTATCCCATTGGTCCTGTTATTTCAAAAATCCATTGTGATCTTCCTTGAACACAAGCAAATCAACTAACCTCCCAAATAAGTAGAGCATATCCTATAAAGTTGATAACCTCACATCAACCCAATTCCATGAGCTTCTACTTTATTACTATTATTTTTTTGTGGTGATACATCAGCCATTTACTACTTCATATGAAACATCACCAACTGGGACAAACCATTTACACGACCTCAGCTCCAGAATCGCCTGATCAAATAACTAATTGGCTGATAATTTATAGTTGTCAGCTGGCAACACTTAACCTTGAATGACAACAACCACTTTTGTAATTTGATTACAACCACTTTTGTAATTTGATTGAAGACCTGACTTAATATAATAATATAAGATATAATGAATCAATGTTTTAGTAAAAGAAACCAACCTGCCAAAAGTTCATTTTCCGTGGATTCTATGATTTGATCTTTATTCTTATTCTTCTTCTTTTTCTTCTTCACTCCACCAGCCTTCACATCCAAGGCCTTTCCCTTGAGCTTCAATTTCCCACCAACAACATTGTCAAAAGCTGACATCTCTGTCAAGTAATCAATAAAATCAAAGTGATTTTGTTTACCAAGACCAGTTAAAGTGATCACAATCACCGACGGGTGATGACTGTATCATTAAATCTTAAGTCGAAAGCACAATGAGAGAATGAACCATCGACATCTCATAAAGATAAGGTAATCTTGCCGTAAAGAAACACAAAAGGGTAACACAATTTAGCGTTACAACTCCATGTTTAAACTCTTGATGTCCATGCGATAAACCGACCATGAAAAACTCCTTAACCTTGAACTGACTGCTGAGAAGCCTCAACATAAATGTTGGAGAAACCAAGATCTAGGTTATAGAAAAAAGAATGAAAAATCGAAAACACCGTCACGACTTCGGTCTAATAAAGAATAAAGTCTAACGAATCTATACATCCAAAAATTTTGTGAACTTTACTAAAAGAGAAACTGAGATTAACAAGTTAAGTTTACAAGGAAAAATAATTCAATATTTCACCACAAAAACACGATTGTTTCCAAGATGAATTCTTAGTGGAAAAGGGGGAAAAAACAAGAACAACATATTAAGAAATGGAAAGGTAAACATGGAGATGAAAGCAGAGGATGATCCAAACCTTATCGAATGGGAGATAGATCAAGGCTTTGGACGTCGGAGGTCACAAGAAGGCTGAAATTGAAACGAGAACGAGGAGAACGAAGATCCTCAGTTTGATTCCGAACGTCGTCGTACGAGTCGGTGATTCACAAAAAGATATTTTTGGGCCACACGGAGGGAACGTATGGAACTCAGAAATCGGCCCTTCGGCCTTTTTCTCCTACAAAAATTAATCTTTAATCTTCAGCTGAACAGGGAATAAATCCAAACCGGATGCCCTTTTTTTTTTAACTTTTTTTAAATCACACATGGGCCAAGTTGGAAGCCACATTTGCAACTTTTATTAGTGTTAAGTAATATTATTTTGCCATATAGGATGATTATTTGATTATTTAAAATAAGTTATGTATGATAAGGATTAAATTATTAAATATAAAATAGTTTAAGGATTGAATTCTAAGTGAGTCACAAATTCAGAAAGTGAGTTGTACTAAATCACAATTAAAAGACTGAGTTACAAGTGAATTAATAGTTAAAGGGAGAATTACTGTAGAGTCCCACAAAAAACATTTTACTACTAAAAGGTCTCATGAAATAGCAAAACAACTCTAAAGTCCCTAAGGACCTAAGTGTGAATAATCTGAAACGATCAATTACGAATTTGTTCTTAATGACTAAAGAAGAAAAATTCACCCATCTATTTGAATCCCACCCTTCTCCTTTAGCCCCCATCTCCTACTCCGTCGGCCCTGATCGCCTACTCCGTCGGCATCTTGCAACATGACCTCTCCATTATTCTCACCAAGAGCCGTAGTCGTCTTCATCCTCTCATGACAATCAAGGTCTTCCTTAAGAAGTTGTTCTCAAGGCCATTTTCAGGTTTTTATTTTATTGTTCTTGCTTGCAATTATTTAATTCATCAGCTAGCAATTGATGATCTGTTTCTGATGAAAAAGGATGAAAATGACAGGTTTTTACTATCATAACCCCTGTAATGTGATAATTAAATGTCTTGTTAATAGGTACATTCAAGGTTGTTAATATAACTGTATGACTTGTCATTAACAAGTGATTGAGACAGGTTGATATGAATGATAGCAACTTCAAGTGGGAAGCATTTGTTTTGTCACCTCCATATAGGGGGACAATTTATTAATGGTGTAGAAGGTAAAATGCAATATGTTGGAGGTGGTATGAGAACAAGAATAATAAAGGAACGCCCATCATATAAAGAATTTAGAACGATGGTATCGTCAATTCTGGGAAAAGAAAGTAATGGAATGGTTATGAAATTTACAGTAACCTTTGATGAGTATACATTTGTAGACCTTGTAAATAAAGTGTAAATTTGGTGTAGTTACATTGTACATATATATGAAGTGGTAAATGACATCTGGTTATAATATGATATAATATCATATCTCCATTTTGCTATACTTATCAATAGATTGTCATGGACTTGTTATCAGATGTCGTGGAGTTTGTTATTAGCAGTCTGAATTAAGTTACTACATAAAGTGACAGTTTCTCATATTTGCCTTGTTTAATGATTTCTTAACGATGATTTTAGTGTTCAAGTTGTAATATGATATGATTTAGTTATAATTTAATTTTTGTAGAAGCTATGGTATCCTACAAAGTGAGTTGTTAGAAGCACTGTCGAGGTTGTTAATCATATCTTCTTGGGTTGTCAACAGCCGTCATTGAGGTTGTAAATGAATCTTTGCAATAAAAATCTAATGTAATCCTATTGGGTTCACTTAAAGCTGTTAATGACTTCAAAATGCTTCCTATTATATTTTTAAGGTCGTTATGTGTACCGATAATACAATTTTCTAGAAGCTATGGTATTCCATAGAGTGAGTTGTCAGGGGCACTGCTAAGGTTGTTAATCACATCTCCTCGGATTGTCAACAACCGCCGTTGAGGTTGAAATGAATTTCTGCAATAGAAATCTGTTGTAATCCTATTGGGTTCACTTAAAGTTGTTAATGACTTCAAAATGCTTCCATTATATTGTTAAGGTCATTATACGTGTTGATAATACAATTCTTTTAGAAGTTGTGATATTCCACAGAGTGAGTTGTCAAGGGCACTGCTGAGGTTGTTAACCACTTTTTCTCGAATTGTCAAAAGCCGCTGTTGAAGTTATAAATAGATCTGTAGAGAGGACTATGATATACACCTATCATGTCATCATGGTTAACATTTATTTATCTAGGTTTATTAAGTCTTCATTTCTGGACATGATCCGAGTTTGAAATGAAGAATTTCGTGGTTATCAAAACACATGAATGCTATTAAAAAAACTTCATAATCAGTAAACAATATCAATACACATTAACATAAATTAACATTCAACTGTCATTATATTATCAAATAAAAAAAAACTCTAAATTCAGCTGCCATTATGCTGTCAGATAAAAATACTAAATGTGTTCTTTACATTTAGCTATCATTATGTTGTCAAATAAAAAAAACTAAATACAATATATGCTAGTCATTTATTCCTTCCTCTTGCTTTGGGAGTTTCTTTGTAGCAAAGACAGATCACCATGCAAGTTGTTCTGATGAGTTACAAGCCACCACAAGCATCCAACTTTCACGTCATGGATTTCTTGAGCGAAATACTTAGGCATTGTGTAGCTGTCATCACCATACTCACGTGTTAAATTACACATGCACTTTTGCACATATGACTTTCTCATCAATTTTGTTCTTTTTGTCAAATAATGTTGGCTTCACTCTACGAAGAACTTGGTAAAAACAATCTCTATGCAAAAAAGAAACAAAAAAAAAAGGAACAAGTTTGATAGTAATGAATGACAAGTAATCAGCAGGCATTAAAAATCTTGACAATAGTGAATCACAAGTAATTAGCAGGCATGAACAATCTTGACAGTAGTGAATGACAAGTAATTAGTAAGCATTAAAAATTTTGACAGTAGTAAATGACAAATAATCAGCAAGTATTAACAACCTTGACAGTAGTAAATGACAAGTAATCAGCAAGTATTAATTGATAATTGATCAAAACTAATTCTTTTCAGCCTTTCCATCTTATCTTCACTTTTCTTTAAGTACTTGCAAACTTCCATAAATTATCCCGGAGCACACTATGTGTGGAAGGGAACAATATGATTCTTCCCTTTCTGTGGGACTCTAATTTCTTTAGTCTTTTCACCATATTATTCTTTCTCTTTTTCTGTTAATTTCCCCTAAGCCTTTATCATTCTTGTTCTACACTACCTCTAACATATTGCATTTCATTTTCTACACCATTAATAAATTGTCCCCCTATATGGAGGTAACAGAACAAATGCTTGCCACTTGAAGTTGCAACCCTTCATATCAACCTGTCACAATCACTTGTTACTGACAAGTCATACAGTTACATTAACAAGATTTATTGTACCAATTAACAAGACATTTAACTATCATGTTATAGGGGTCATGATAGTAAAAACCTGTCATTTTTATCCTTTTTCATCAAAAACAAAGCATCAATTGCTATCTGATGAATTAAATAATTGCAAGCAAAAACAATAAAATAAAAAACCTGAAATGGCCTTGAGAACAATTTCTTGAGGAAGACCTTGATTGTCATGAGAAGACCAAGACAACTGCGACTCTTGGTGAGAATAGCGGAGAGGTCATGTTGCAGGATGTCGACGGAGTAGGAGATCAAGGCCAAAGGAGTAGGAGATGGGGGCTGAAGGAGAAGGATGGGATTCAAACAGATAGGTGGCTTTTTTTTTCTTTAGTCATTAAGGGCAAATTCGTAATTAATTGTTTCAAATTATTCACACTTAGATCCCTAGGAACTTCAGATTTGTTTTGCCATTTCATGGGACCTTTTAGTAGTAAAATGTTTTCTGTGAGACTCTACAGTAATTTTCCCATAGTTAAAAGATAAAAAGATTAATTTTCTTACTTTTTTTCAGGTAACAATTTTTTATAATAAAAACTAGAATTTTCTATTCCGTGCAATGCATAGATTAACATATTTGATTAGATTTAAAATTCTAATAAATTGCATTATACATTATAGCTCAAGATTTACTTTTTAAGGAGGATTTTTTTTATTCATTCAAATAGAAATTAAATTAGAGACACGGAATTTAGAAAGAATAAATGAAAATTTAAAATTATTTATTTATTTTACCATTTAAGCTTCCAATTGAGATACTATTTAATTATGATGCTCCACATTTAATGCAATATATTGAAATCTCAATTTAGATATTTTTCAAACTCAAAATTAATTATTAATTTTTTCATTTCAGCCTCCAATTAAAATTTTATTTATTTTATAATGTTTCCCATTTAATTTAATATATTCAAATTTCTATCAATATGTTATTCAAATCTCATTAAATAAATATATTCGGATTCAATAATACCATACGCGACCCATTTTCAAAACAAATCGGGTATTATAATTTTCAGAAATATAGTTGATGATTGATAGAAATTTCTTTCCTGTGCGATGTACGGATTAACCTATTTGATTAGATTTAAAATTCTAATAGATTTGATTATCTACTGTAACTCAAGATTTACTTTTTTATAGAAGTATAATTTTTTTATATATGAAAACTTAAAATTATTTATTTATTTCTCCATTTAAGCCTCCAATTGACATACTATTTAATTATAATGCTCCACATTTAATGCAATATATTGAAATCCTAATTAAGATATTATTCAAATGCAAAACTAATTATTAATTTTGTTATTTGAGCCTCCAATTGAAATTTTATTTATTTATAATATTTAGCATTTAATTCAATATATTCAAATTTCAATCAATATGTTATTCAAATCTCATTAATTGAATATATTCGGATCCAATAATGTCATACGTGAAGCATTTTCAAACAAATCAAGTATTATAAGTTTTCAAGAATATAGTTGATAGTTGATAGAAATTTCTCTCCTATGAGATACACGGATTAGCATATTTAATTAGATTTAAAATTCTAATAAATTACATTATCTACTATAGCTCAAGATTTACTTTTTATAAGAGCATGATTTTTTATTCATTGAAATAAAATTTGAATTAGAGATGTGAAATTTAGGGGGAATAGATAAAAATTTAAATTTATTTATTTATTTTTTCATTTAATTGACATACTATTTAATTATAATTCTCCGTGTTTAATGCAATATATTGAAATCCCAATTAGGATATTATTCAAACTCAAAATTAATTACTAATTTCTTGATTTGAGTATCCAATTGAGATTTCATTTATTTATAATATTTCTAATTTAATTCAATATATTCAAACTTCAATCAATATGTTATTTAAATCTTATTAATTGAATATATTCATATCCAATAATATCATATGTGATCCATTTTTAATGAATTAGGTATTACAAGTTTCTAAGAATATAGTTAATAGTTAATTGTATGTAGCAATGACTAATTGTGTATTTCATTTTATATAATATTTATTATATTTTTTATCATGATAATATTTATAATATTTATTATTCATCGTGGAATTTAAGTATATCTATTTTCAATGAAAATAAAAGGAACGGTTCATTTTTTTTAAAAAAATTATTTTCACTTCACTTTTTCTTGTTTTGTAAGTCAAAGAAAAGCCCAAAATCAAAATGAAGTTAAAAAAATACTAGTAATTCTTTTAAAAAGCACTGTTTTCTTTATATGCTTTTATTAACACTATAAAATTAATTAAAATAACATATTAGGAATAACTAAATTTAAAATCTTAGGATTCAGATTATACGATACACAAAGAAGCAAGCTGTACAATTCCGGGGTTAAGAACAATTCAGCATTTCAACTTACTATAGTAATCAATATTTATAATAAAAATTGTAAAAATAGTTATCTTATTCTTAAATTGAGGAAGCAAGGATGGACCAAAATAAAATATGGGGACCAAGTTTTAAAAAAATTACTGACATATAATGTTTATCTTAACTACAAAACACAAGAGTTTCAAAGTTTGTTTTATTCATCAAAATAAAACGTCAATTTATTTTGTCTATCAACATATTAGTTAAGAAAACCTTATCAAAAACATTTTATCAGAAAAACCTTATACTCCTCCAATCCTTAATATAAGATCCATTTAACTAATTTGATTAGATTAAGGAAGTTAGGTAAATTAGTTAATTATAAGAAAAGTGACACATTTTTCCTAAAACATTGTAATCATCTTTCTTAATACCCCCTTTCCCTCTTCTACTTGATTATGGTTGAGGGAGTATCCATAGGGGTAATTTAGAGAAAATCGATAAATAAGAGAAATGGATCTTATATTTAGAACTAAAACTAACTCAAGAATTGGGTCTTATATTAAGGACCGGAGGAGTAACAAAAAACCCCAAAAACACTGATGTGGCCTTAAAATTGTATTGAAACTAACAGGAGTTGGATCTAATAAAAAAGATTAACCTCTCATAACATGACAAATCAATATTCAAATTCCCACTAAGAGAGATACACACATTCTGTACCCGACAATGTCTCGAATAGAATTATCTCCAAATATATTCAAAAATTAAGAGAAGAATATTATTATTAATATAATATTTATTAATATATAATAAATTAAGATAAGAAAAGCACCCTCTGTCTTACCGCGGCTGTTGGCACAGAGTTAGCCGATGCTTATTCCCCAGATACCGTCATTCCTTCTTCTCCGGGAAAAGAAGTTAACGACCCGTAGGCCTTCTACCTCCACGCGGCATTGCTCCGTCAATACATGTATGTAGCAAAAAAATTTGTATTTGTGCAAACTTGACCAATTTTTAGAGTGTGTGTGGCATATATTCGAATCTTGGTCAAAAACCTATAAATACTAAGACAAATATTTTCGGAGACATGAGGTTTATATTGATCTTTAATCACCTTCCTGAAATTTTACTCATCTAAATTTTGTAAACAAAAAAGAACATCAAATTTTATTATAGGGATCAGGAGCCAACACAGCACTTAATTAACAGAATATTTACCCACCCAAACTCACGTAAGAGCTGTTAGTTTGGGAAGCAGTTCCTGTACTCATTGCCTCAGTTTGATGAGCTTCAATCTAAATCCTCCTGCTCAAAATTAGATTGTCCTGATTTAACATAGTTCTATTTTTTACTTTTTTAATAATTTATAACTTTAATATATACAAAACTTAAAATAAAATAAACTTATAATTGTCTGTTTGTCAATAAGAATAATTTTAATTAAAAATTATTAGTCGAAAAATTTTAAATCTAAATTATTGAAACTATAGTTGAAGGTTTCAAATCTCATTATAGGGATATGCACATGAAGCATATCATTGCAACGAACATCCAACCAATTGTCATGGTAATCTGGTTTCACCGCATTCCCATATGTGGTAAAAGCTTTCACCTTGAAAAAAATATTTAGGTAAAAAACAAACCATAATTTTAAAAATAATTGTTCATTATATGAAATAAATATTTGAGATAAGTTTTATTTCAATTTGTTTAAAAACACTTTTAAAAACTGCTACCCTAACATCCAACATTTATAAATGGAACAACTCCAGTTTGAAGAAAATCTACCATTTGCCCTTTATACTTTGAGATTATTCTATACTTCTTACAAACGATGCTCTCACTGTTCTCAAAATTTACATACATACATGTATACACACACACACACACACATATAAAAGAAGGGTTTGACGGAGGGTTTCGAAGTCCTTAGCAAGACAATGCAAGCCGTAGAATCCAAAATTGAATCTTATCAAAATCCAAACATCATCCCAAATTTGCAAAGGTTTAAACTTCAGGATTTCCGGGAGATTAGAAAGAAATCTATGAAACTTGACAAAGGAGAAACAAAATGCTGGTAAGATGCCCAATTTTGTAGAAACCACAGTCAGGGCCACATATTGCAAGTTGCAACCATGAGTCCATTACGATTTGACTAATTAAGGTGACTCATCAAACTTGATGAACAATGGCTGAATGGCATGAGAGAAAATTTTCGAAATTTATAGATTAACTTTTTTCGAGAATAAATATTTAACTAGCCTAACACATTTTAATAAAAAAAATAATGGAACTTATAAATTAAGCGCAAACTAGAAATGACCCCTTTTGTCGGTCATTTCTCCCAGTACAAATCAAATCAGCCATTTAAAATGGTCTCGGACGTTTGCCTTGATTAAGTTGATTTTCTAGCAATCATATATGCATCAAAATGTATCTTTCAAAAACGCAATGCTAAAAAGGACCATTAAAATTTTTTTTGGACTAAAAACTAATTCAAACGTACGTAAACCTTTGCAACTGCAATTTCGTTTAACCAGATAAGACACAACTAATCATTCAAGTTAACTCTCATTGAAGCCCCAGTAATGAAAGTTCCACAATCCTCGCGTTGGAATGTGATATAGGAGCAAGGGCAAAGAGGTGAACAAAGTAGGCACACATGGCATCCTTAAGAACACAGTGGATAAGGTTGAAGTAAAATCCTAAATCAACATACTCCTTTAGTAGATTCCCGGAATGATTTTATTAGGCACCTTGTTGCAATAGAGTTTCCAGTATCTACCATACCTGCACGCAGGGGAAATTTCAAATGTCATTCATAAAAATTCTGCTTAACTTCAAGGTCTTGGTGAGATCAAACGCAAGAACTTGACATTCGAGCATTTATGATATTTGAGAGGCAACATGAATCAAGAAAAACTCTGTTAAATTAGACTTTAGAAGGCTAGTACTTCATTATTTCTTATCCGATTTTACTTAAAATTCAATGAGAAATTTACAATTTCTAACATACAGTGCTTTAGAGTAAAGTATGTGCTTCAGAAAACAGTCCGATTGGCTAGTAGCAAGCATTCATCTCGTGCTATTAGAAAAGAAAGTAAAATGACAACGCACTAGACAGACAATTGAGGAAACCATTTGTAATTTGTAATAATAACCCAAAAATTGAAGTCATCTGTCTCTAGGTGTATATGGGGAGTGTATCAAATTTAAAGGGTGATCTTACCTGACATCTGAGACTGAGGGGAAGAAAAACTACTAATTTCGAAATCATCAATATAGTATATAAAACATATATATATTACCTCTTGTCCTAAATATAAGAGCTGAGGTTTTTTTAAGGCATAAATATAAGATCCAAATTTATTTTGTTTCCCAAATTTATAATTCATCTCCCACACTCTCCTTACACATATTAAGGGGCATTCATCAAGAGGTAGTTTATAAGGCAAATAACCATAGGGATGCTTCAGGAAAATCAATACACATTTTTTACAAACAATTAGCTTAATTAATTTTCTCAATTTTTACAAATTAGTTAACTAACTTGTGTATTTAAGACTCTAGAGGGAGTAAATTTATAATAAATGGCACTGTTCATAAATTATTAACAGCAAGACTCATTCCTCAGATTTCATATATATACGAATATATAAATGATAATTATGGGAGTGACTTGGGTCCATGAAGCCCAAAGACACAAAAGATAAAACTAGCAGATACTATCTGTACACTTACTTGGATTTACACCGATCATCGTCCCTTTTCGCTCGATCAAAGAGAAGGATGGTAAGAAATATGACATAGAAGTAAGGCAACAACTGCATCAAAAAGGAAAAAGAAAAGACAAAGATAAGATTTAAGATTTTATATTAAGTTACAATTGACAACTATACAGATTACAGAAGAAATAGTTAAATACACTCTTACATGATTGAATAGAGCAGGAACTGTCCAAAAGAAAGCAGAAAGTATTTCTGGGACATAATGGAAATGACGAGATAAACCCCACCTGGAGATATCAAAGAAGGAACTGGGCCATCAATAGCGGAAGACATCTAATCTACGAAAATAATATGTTGAAAGAATATGACTACGGAATGATTTTAAGCCCACACAGTATGCATTTATCATCAACAACAAATATTAAAGAATCATAATATGTATAACGATAATATACATAAAATCAATTGTCTCAAAAACAAATGGTGTCTTGAACTCCTCCTGCCCGGGAGACAGGTATTTTGAGCAACATTTAATTATCACCATTTCATGTTTACAATATCTTGAGCAAAAACTTACCACCCAGATGTTAAAAGAATGCTGGTTTTTGTTTCTCCAGTAGTGGTGGTATAGGAGGCCTCTATCTGCAAAGGCACAATCACATCAAATCCAACAGAAAATACTTATTTTAGAAGATATAATGCATTGTAAAGAAAATACACCCCAGATAACCATAATGTAAATGCCATGACTTCACACCTTTGATGGAGGTTTTCCCCAGACTAAGCATTTTCCATTCGTGCGACGAAATTCTTGCCTTTGCCTATCACAATCATAGTTGATGTATATGCAGAGAATGCCAGCCACAAGAATAAAGATTGCAAGCTGGAAGATAAGGATAGACATTTCAGAAAGAGAGAGAGAGAGAGAGAGAGGAGGCCGTATAAAGAGTGAGTGTCTGCTGGCAACACCAAGATAAATTAAACAACAATTTAACCAAGAGGAGGAAATACCTGAGTTCCAAGATTTACAGGATGGTTGACAAGGTACATTCCAGGAGATGTATAAACAGATGGAACCCACACCAAGCAGCCCCAGCAAATATAAAAACCCGCTGCCATAATATGTGTTATAAAATCCAGTGAGACAACAAATAACTTCAAATACAATGTACATAACAAAATTAATAATAAGATTTGGTATGAGTGTCGTGTTATCGAAATTGAGTAGCTAAAATAAGAAAAACTAAGTCATTGTCATATAAATTCTCCAAGCAAGTAGTCATGGTACCATCAAAAGCACTGCTGTTTGTCGCCATAACCATAACAAGGAAATACCTAGTATGCAAAACATATATAAGAATAAGGCATATATGAACCTCGGTCATGAGCAATATCCATTGTGTTCCAATATCCAGATTCCCACCAGAAAAACTTGCTAACATACACCAGCATTAATGCAGTGTTTACAAGCATTGAGTCAGCCACTTTCCCAGTTTCCTCGTACTATCATTAAAAAAAATAAAAAATACAATGATTAGAGAATAGCTGAGTGAAGAAACATCATAAAGCTAAAATTTCAGAAAATTCAAAAACGTTCTTGATTCTTATAGAACTGGACAGATCACACACACACAGACATCCAAGGTGACATAGGAAGCTCAGCACACAAAGATAAGATAGATACCACACTAAACACAGAAGTAGAAACACCAAAAAGGAACTAGATAAAAATTTTGGCAGCAAAGTTTGAGCTAATAAGACTCTTCGGTCCAATTCAGTGGTTGATAGAGGATAAGCATTAACAAAAATTTAACAGCATAAATGTCTATACCTTATGATAGGCTACTAGACAAATCAAGTGCTCAAAAGTCCAGTCTCATAATTTATAATAATGTATTGATGAACTTAAACATAACATCCATGAAATAAAATTCAAGAAATGAAAACAGTTTTATGTTCTCTGCATCTCTGCCCTAAACACACTAACAAGTTCATAAAACTTGGTTTATGAACAAACAAATCAGTGATCAGTTAGGCCCAAAACGGGGCGCAAACTCAGTCACTGATTATAAATGTTGGGTTTGCTGAGGCATAGACTAATTGGTATTTACTTTTCTGCTTTGTATAGAAAGTCCATAGATTAAAAGACAATTTTCAGACTTCAACTATGAACCTTTGATAGCCCTGTGCCATTTCCCTCGTCTTCTCCAACCAATTTCAACGAGTTAAAAGCAAGACATTATATTAGACAGCATTAGAACCACAAGTATGACAAGTCTCTCTAAGGACCCAAGAGATACATCTCAGAGGAGAAAAGACTAATTTAAATAATTTCTTTCACTCTCCTTGGGTATTAAAGAGCCAAGGTATCTAAGATCAATATGCATGCTAAAACTAGATCAAGAAACAGCAATCAATGCTCCAAATAATCTTAAACATTAATAATTAATAATATTAGAAAGTATGGAATTCTCTCTTGTATACGACAAAGCAAAGCGTATGGGTGCCTGTGCACAAGGAAGGCTACTTCAGGAGACAAAATTACAATAAGGCCACCAGGTGCTAATGAAATAACTAATATGCACGTGCCAAAATTCTAATAATAATTACATTATAAGAATTTCTAAAATTTTTAACATGAAGGATATAAATATTCCTCCAAAAGATATGATTAGCAGATAGAGCTAAGGCCTCCAAAGCCCCAGACCTAAGGTGTTTCTACTAAAAGATATCAATGACCAACAATGATTTCTTCCAACGGATTGATCAGCTTCTACTCAAGACAAACAAAGCATTGAACCCTAAAAACATTTATCTTGCTGCTAATGTAAGACAAGTGCTTTTTGGAATGCCCTCATTTCAGCTTTCACAACACAAAAATTAAGACCCCACCTGCTTTATGCAATAGGTCAGCGCAAGAACAGCCCAAGACATCATTCCAAATCTGCAATTTGTAAAAACTTTTATGTCAAAGGTTTTCCCGATTCGTGGATAGAGCTCCATACCCTGCAGAAATGACGAGACATTAACAATTCTATAATCACATGAAAACATGCATTGCTGTGACACTAAACTACATATTCCTCTGTCTATAAATTATATAAAACATAGATAAAGTAAAAGAGTTAATTCCCAATAATGGCAAAGATGCTATTTCTTTTTAAGTGGTGGAAAAAGAAACCACAACCAGAAAATCTAAAAAACTACAAATGGGGTTTCAAAGTCCACATTTAGGCAAATGCATTGTAAATGCAACTTGAGAGAACGTTAAAGAGGAAAACTATCACTTGTTTTTAAATGTTTCTAACGTAATATCTTCTTGGTTCAAAATAAATGTGCTGTTCCTTAAAGATCACACTTTTCACATGCTGGTTGCAGACCCAAATGTTCATTAAGCTTTTGGCAGAGAAGACTTATCCCAGCAGAGACAACTAACTCTGACGCTTCAGAGGCCATGGACGAGTGGTGAAGAAGTGAATTGCTGGTCAGGAGTTATGAGGAACTAAGTAGTAAGGTGCAGAGAGTGAAAGATTGAAGAATCTTTTACCCCTTAAAGACTTAGCTTCTCAAAAGCTAGGAACTATTAGTTTTATCATTTTGCCTTTTATGTCCTGGTAAATGTTGGTTGCTGTCTATTTTTACATCTGCACTGATTGTTGTTGTTTGTCCTTGTTTTTATATACAAAAGAAACGAAGTGCTCAGTCTTGTTTCTGGTGCGACAGCTCTCTTTATTTACAGCAAGCTCCACTGCATGCACGGTCCACTGATGGCATGACACAGGAACAGAGGGAAATCTATCATATTATCATATTATGATTTTGTACTTTTTTCTAATTTAGTGACTCTATCCACAATTTTTCAATACAAATGATTAGATGATAAAAATGACATCAGTGAAAATGTTCTCATAGGAAAAATATGCAATAAATTAGAAAAATAATTACCCAGTAGAAATCGATAATTATGTTCCCAGATGAGCCAGAATCAGTAGAAGAAGGAGCAAAATGGCCCTAGGGAATATAACACTTAGTCAAAAATTTTAATGTAAGTAGCATAGAAAAAAAATGACAGGTAGCTTTTGCAACGTTAAAGTCTCACTTTCAAGTACAAGAAAATACAGAAGACAAAACTCCCGAAAATGAGTGCTGAATATATCTCCCCCAAGTGATCATACACAATGGTTGGGTTGAATATTCCAAACCTGCAAGTGCATGCAAAATTATTGTGCCTTGTCATTGTCTGAAGGGGGCAAAAAAGGCTCACTGTTAACAAGACAAGAGGTCTTCCTAGAAAGAGTTTGTAAAGAAGGAAAGTTGAATTCAGTCACTCTGCATTTTTAGCTCGATTGCTTATGGCATTATCCTAAAACAATAAAGAAACTTGCCGTTCATCAAAACTTGGAAATTAAAAGTATAATCATTGCAGGATAGGGCAATGATTTTTCTTGTTTCACCCATCACATCCAACAGATATAGTAACTACAAATTTTTTGGACAGCTTGTTAGTTTATTTGCTAGTTCAACCCAAGAAGAAATATCTTTTTTCCACAAGTAATTGTGGAAAAATATATCGATTAATTTCTCCTCTCATCAGATGACCAGAAAACCAAAAGATATCAGTTCACTAACACAAAAGCCCTAGTGGCTAAAATGGAAAAAGGGAAAGACTGAAAGAAAAGCTACAAAATACCAGAAAATTAATAATACATCAAGCCCCCGCTTAAACACTGAGATAATCATAAAAAGCATAGTAGGACAAATATAACGAAGAAAAGCAACATTGTGTCAGTATGAAATGCTCTTAGCTGTGGATAGTGCAAACACGGTATGGGGATAATGAGTTTTGCAAAAAACATAAGATCAGAGTGTTAAGTAATGTTGTATATATATAATCTCACCACCAGAGGCCAAGATAAGTAATCAATGTCACCACATATGCTGCCACACCATTTTCCTGTACAATATAAGCAAAAATATTTCAGAGTTACATGCATGTGGAGAATATCAATATATAGCATATAAGCCAAACAAAGTAAGAAAGAAAATAACAGAGAGCCAGAAACTGCATCATTTAAAAAAATAACAATATTTTGTATGTCTTAGCAGAAGCTATGCATGAAAGCTAAAACAGAAACCGATTATGCTGGTGATAATCAGAGTATGAACAACCTTGTACACAGGTCGGTTTCCAGTAGGAGATATGGGGCCCTCGACCCTTTTACCAGGTAAAAGAAGTTGAAGTGCCGCTTCAAATGCAGCATAGACACCAATTATTTTCCAAGCCGTAGCGGTGGGTCTGGGCCATATGTTAAGAAATCCTTGCAGCCCATTCTGTTTCAAATAATCCCAAGTCTGTAAAACAGACCCGTCTGCTTGTGTCATTGTATACCATCTGCATTAAGTAGAAAATCTATATAAATCCATCCATCAAAATCAGAGTTGAGTAAATTTTGATCTGTATGATTTGGGCCCACGGAAGCTAGCGAATTAATCAGACCGACTGAATGTTATGATATAATTAAATTTATTCATAGCACTGTAATAGAAAACAACTAAGGTTAGTCCATGCAAGATATCGATGAAGCTGTCCACTCTACTTACTGTAACAGCTCAGCCGAAAAGAATGATAAATGTTCAAAATCAAGTTCCTAGCCTCTGGTACGGGAGTATCTGGTGAAGTAGATGAGAACAAAGGAAAAGATCCGAAATCGGCGTGCGTCAAAGACCGTGGATTCACTAATCTCTTATCTTACAGTTAGCTTAGCGCATTTGCTGGTAAAAATTCTGAAAACTATCGAGTTTGGATTACCTTATTCAATGTTTTTAAAACATAAACAAGAAACGAAGGAAGTTAAGCTCGTTTTGGGAGATTAAGAATTCTGATGTTGACACTGCATGAGTTCAGATTTAATAACAAACAAAGGAAATCATCATGCTACCATGAAAATTGATGTAGAAGACTCATTTCTATCACACATCAAATCCAGAGGAACATAAAGATAAAAGAATATGAAGAAAGTAAGAACAAAGAAGCAACGAAAATCGCAGTAAAGAAAGAGAAAAAGCGAAAATGGAAATGAAGCTCACAGGAGGATGACGAATGGAGGACAAAGCGTGACAAGAGATGACATGGAAAAGTAGGTCAGGAAAGGCGAGTGTACGGTCTTCGACTCCGCCATTGCGATGGCTCTGTGAACGCACACTCTCAGTTCACTTATTACAGATTTTGATTTGATTTCGTCAAGGATGACTTGGGGAGGACCTTATATTAGCTCGCAAGTCAGGCTCTAAGTGCCGAATTTCGCCTGCGGCCCTCCTATTTTCAGATAATTAACGTCTTTCCCCACTTCTTTTTGGCTTTTTTTTTTTTTTAAATAAAAAGACAACTTATTAAAACTAAGTAAAATGATACACAAATTATGTGACCCTTTTGCATAACACTACCTTCGATCTTAAATATAAGAACTAACTGATTAATTTAAGTAGATTAAGAAAATAAGTTAAATTAAACAGAGTAGATTAAGGTTTTATATTTAGAACCAAAATAAAAATCAAATAAAATCTTATATTAAAAATCCTAGGCCAACTCTAACTACAGTACAAGGCAAGAGGCATAGATGAGACCACATACAAAGCAAGCGCCAAAACACTTGCAAACCACTTTAAACGACCATGCAGGCCCTGAAAATCTAAAAGGATGATGAACTAACAACAAGAGCAAGACTTCGAAGCTAAAAAAATCGATGGTAGAATGACCATAAAAAGTTAGTGATGCAACCACTTTGCGATGACACAATATCATAACCATACAAAGAACTTCTCACAGACATTAATTATAGAAAACCGTTATGCCATCCGAGACACTAAGAGGCTTGGAGGACGCTGCTGAGGCAAAAGAAGATAATAAGCTGTAGTCATAAAGAACCAACCGCAATGCAGTCCAAGAATCAAAATCAAAGCTTGAATAACAATGTAAGAGGCTATCAAAATAAGCATGCAACCTGGACATCACTAACACAACCACACAAAAATTAAAAAAAAAAAAAAGATTGCCTAGGAGATATTACTTCTAATCCTTATTATAAGAGCCAGTTTTACTTTCAAATTTGACCCTAAATATAAGATTTCAATCTATTTTTATCTCTTGTATTTATCTATTTTTTTTCAAAATAGTCCTTATAGTAGTTGCACGTATTAAAGATTTCTTCAAATAGTAATTTTAACTAATATAAATGATTGACAACACATATTTATTACATATAACTAACTTAACAAACTTTCTTAATCTAATCAAATTAGTCAAGTAACTCTTATATTAAAAACTAGAGATAATATAAGCTATTCCACTCCAATATCACTAGTATGATCCTTCCAAGAAAAAGTATGGTAAGTAGTCCAAGAGATTCTTGATCAATGAGCAATTGGTACGTTGCATGGAGCAACAAGCTTCGTTCGCTTCAAACAGAAGTTATAATGATCTTCTCCCACGTGCGCTTCCGCTTGGCATTAATTAGAAGGAGAAGAAATAAGTGAACCTATGGGTACGACAAATTTTATGATCGGGGGTTAAATTAGTTTTCTTTTCCTTATTTCAGGTCCGAGATCTCATCTCTCAACTCCATAAAACTTAGTGGGGGAAATTATATATTAGGATTATATAGAATATATTTACAAAAATAACACATTTTGAAACTAAAATGTTTGTGAAGGAAAGAGTCATCAAATAAAATTCTTCAAAATCGTCATTAAGTTTCCAAAAATAAAGAAGAAGCACTCACAAATCAATGTATATCAAATATTATAATTCATGTATTTACTTTTTAGTAGAAGATAAAGATCAATGTATTTAGAATTATTTAATTCATATTCCTAAATTTACAATAATACATGTATCATAGTGATTCCTAAATTAGATATTTAATTAAGTGATAAAATTACTTTTTTTTTTGGACAACAATCTTCTTCTGCAAGTTTACAAGTACGAAAGACGCACAAAATTATATATTACCTCCGGTCTTTAATATAAATCTAGTTAGAAGATGAATTTTGTCCTATATAGAAGACCTCAACTCCATCTCTCATTTTTCCCATAATATTCCTATTGATTGTAAGGCATTTACATTAAGAAATAATTCGAATAGTTCAATAGATATAATTAAAAATAATAGTTTAGAGAGATCAACATACATTTGTTATAAATAACTAACTTAACTAATTTATTAATATCTCCAAATTAATTATCTAACTCTTATATTAAAAATTGGAGACAATAGGAAAAAAAAAGATGTAAAAATATAAAGCATATTATCCTTTCCCTTGTTCCTCTCCACTTCACCAGTTCTATTACTTACATTCTCATTAATTCTATACTAATTTTTTAGTATTGGGCTAGATTTAATGTCATCGCATTAGATTAGAGTATTTTCTATGAAACAATGGAGTGTGGTAGTAATTTAGATGAAAATTCTTTGAAACTTATAAAATATAGGCTCTGGTAGGCTCAAAAACCTACCGAGGGCCTTCAATGGTGGAGTATGGGGTTTATTTAAAGACCTATATATTATAATATAGATAGGCTTCTAAAGACCTAAGTCAAAAAAAAAAAAAAAAAGGAACTATATATAGGTTAAGGTCTAAATTCAAGTTTTATAACCCTGTTACAGGTTTAGGCCTATTTACTCAATTTGATTGGTGTAACCTAATTTCATCTTACAACAGTCTTTTTCCCTACAAAATTTAATTTCATTTTGATTCTTCATGGTGAATTTAAATTTCGGAATTTTTCATAAGCAAACGGAAATTAATTAGCTAAAGGGTTACAATGAAATTCTCCCTGTATATAATGGAAAAATTGTCATAAGATTCTACTTAAGAGAATTAAATAAAAAAAGATCACTTGAAATCAGCAAATTAATCTGAAGTTCTAAGAGATCTCATTACAAGATATTTCACTCATTTAATTACTAAAGTGCCCTTTATAATATCTCATATAATTATATCCATATACCTGATAAAATACTTTATTTAGAAGTCCATACGTTACTAACATTCTAAACAAATCATGATTTCAAATTATTTCTGACATAACTTAACAAAATAAACTATCAAAGTCTTATAGTCATGGTATATAAAAATATAATATAACATGTGCTTGAGAAGCACAGAAGCCTTCACGCTCACTCCATTGGTGCCTTCTCTTGATTCCTACTAGATCCTTCGTCTGAATATGTTAATATAAGGGGTAAAATCAAACGTCTCAGTAACTACTGAAATTCTAACATATACAAGCAAGCCATATATGATAAACAAAAATCTGTTTATGTCTCTATGTGTGTGTGTATGAAAATCACGGATTTGATACATTCAACTCAATTTCATTTTTGATTCAACAATACCAATATCATTTTTCTATTATATCTAGAAATAATGCAATATGCTGCCTCCCTTGTATTACCGTCTACCCTTATATCGCTGACTAGAGCTATAGGCTAACACATAGTCCGATGGGAACTAATTTGTTTTACTGAATTATTCCAAGTTCACTGATACTAGAGATATATCCAGCCAAAGATATAGAGCTCAACCTCAAATTATGGCTCCCCTCCTTTGCAAATAAAAATAAGAAGGTGTCACATGTCTCACAGCTCTAATAAATTCCTGACCAAAGGAAAACATGGAAGAAGGAGCCCTATCAAGTGCCATCTACTGTGCACCAAGTGATAGTATACCACGTGGTAATTTATATCCATACAAATCTCCTTCTATTCTTAGCCTAACAATGCATATGTCAAATGCAATTAATGTTACATCATAAATATGTACTCAAATATATTATTAAAAATAAGATAGTAATAAAATTTCTTATTATTTAACAATAATTCATTATAATTCCATAGATATCAATATTTTTAAATATTGATCATAATTAGTAGCAATAAATTTTAACAAAATCAAGTAACATATCAAAACATTTACTTGAAAAATCATAATATTATGTTTCAGTAATACAAAAATTAGTAAATCTACAATATAATCATACACAATTCATATGTACAAGAAAGAATTTTCAAAGTTACCTTGTACTTTAGCTTATAAATATTCACAAAGATTACTCCAAAATTCTCAAGAGTCTACAAACTTGCACATAAATATTTATTAATATAAACTCAAAATTACTCCAAAACTACTCTAAAATTCTAAGACTACCCTCTAAGCTAAAATTACATAAATATATTAACTATCCCGAATTTTGCTTTTTATAATAGATATAATATTATTTTGACAATAAAATTTACATATAAAGCTATTTAAATTTAATAATTTAAATAAATATATTTTTATTATCCAAGATTTAAAAATTTCATATTAAAATCTCAATTATTTATTATAGTCTCATTTAAAATTTTTCTTAACTAAGCAACTCTTTTAAATTATAAATAAGCTGTAACTTTATCTAATTTTATAAAATTCTTAAATTACAATTTTTCAAGCCTTCAAAAATTATTTCAAATATATATCTTTAACTTATTTCAATATTTAAACCAATTAAAACCTTAATAATATATTAAATAACTCAAATAAATTATTTAACTTGAATTTAATTGGCAAAAATATTCTATATCTTCAAACAACAAATTGTTCAACTAAAATCTTAATTTTGTTATAAATATTGTATATATGTGGATGTCCATAACACCCAACTCTTAGGATTCTTGATCTTTGAATGTCTTAAACCCATAACCCCCCAATGAATGACTTTAGAGGAGTTTTCCATGTTTATTGTCATTATTCCCTTATTCATTTCTTTGTAACTCTTGGATTAGACTTTTATGGTTGGGGCTATAAATAGAAGCCACATACAAGGCATTTGTACCCATATATGTATATGAGAAATACTCCTTGTTTTCTCTCTCAATTCTTCTCTTGCTATCCTCTTTCTACTCTCTAACTCTCTCATTTTTATAACACGTTATCAGCACGAGTTTGTTCTGAAGATTTGAGGTATGAGCCTTTTGTAAATTAATATATTCTTATAGTATATGATAATATTTTCTATGAACTTCTCCTTACCCAATTATTCTTTTTATCTTATTATCACGCCTAATTTTAACTTTCTATATATTTGCTATATATTATGTTGTTCTTTTATGTTATTTATTAATTTATTCTTTTTATACATTTTAATTTTATTATCTCCCCATTGTGATATTGTGTTATTTATTTTATTTATT